TCTCTTATTAAAAAAAGCAATTAAAAAATTAGATTAGGGGTAAAATAGAAGGATATTATTGTAATTTGTCCTTAAAAAGTAGACTAAAAAAGGAAATGAGAAGAATATTTCCGGACGGACTAAAAAGGAAAATGGGAAGGACATTTCCGGACGGAGGGAGTAGTATGTAGTCTTAAATTTGCAACATATTTTTTCTCCAGTAAATTTATACTTTCCAATTATGATTAACTTCTCAATTGTATGTTTTGAAGCACATTGTGTATTGCTTCTTCCATTGATATGTGAACATTTAACCACATTTGCAGGACATATACTGCTTGGATGCTGATGGTGCGCTGTTTGATGCTGCATTACTTTCAGCAGTTGCTGCCTTTTCACATTGTGAGTGTTATGGCTTCACCCTTCTATCCGTTTTAGAGTCCGTTTAAAATCCATAGATCGTTGGGAAAGAAAATAGAGAGGAAAATATAATGCTTCAAAGTCAATACTTTTGAACGAAAGAGAATATGAAATAAAATAATGCTTCAAAGTCAATACATTTGTTTTTGGTATTTGTTCAAATTCTTTTTCTTTAAGAACTTTGATATTTATTAATGTGCAATTTTTGTTAAACATCAATCCTGATTCATTTTCCTTTTGTTTTTTTGAGGTAAATCCAATCATAAAAAATAACTTAACTCCCTTTTTCCCTAATTTTCCAAGATCCAAACATACCCTCATAGTATCTCGTAGAGAGTGCAATAAGCTCTATGCTCGCTTCCACTTTCATCTACGAGTAAAAATGCTTTTTGCCTTGCTTCAAACGGGCTCAATGAAATCTACTGTGTACATTAAATTTATATCCTTTTTCCCCAAAATTCACCCTTCTGAACATTTTATGAAAGATAAAAGTATCGTAACATTATTAAGTAATACCTCCATACAATGAGGAGATTTTAGATATGGAGTAAAATATAAAGCTTTTCTTAAAGTCTGCAATTTGGTCAATAAAGATGTATACTCACTTTGTCTGGATTTAGTCGTCCACTTCAAAAGAAATACTCCTCCGCCTCAAAAATCCGTTCCTCTTTCATTTTTTACTTGTCCCAACCTACCTCATCTCCCTTCTATGCCCTTCTCATTTGACATTTTCTAAACCCTACTCATTTCAATTGTCGACGTTTTTCCTTGATCAAACTTCTACAGCTTCCCCTTCCCCTCCCAAAAGTCAAAACTAGAATTTTTTGTGGAACGGAGAAAGTAAATTTTAAGGAATGGGTACAAAATGTCAAGTAAGTTTTCAAATGAGTTTGTCTTTCAGTCACATCAACAACGCTCATATGGTCATACCCTGTCCCAAGGATGTTTTAGATTCGTCATAATTTATTTTCAAATAAGAATAGTGAACAACTAATTTCGGACAAACAAAAACATAAAAAGTGGACAATTAATTATAACGGAGGGAGTATCACATCATCTGAGTGTGCTGTCAAAGATCTTAAATGTTCTTATTCAGCAGAAAGCCCGGTCGTATTCAAATTTGAATAATGTTACCCTTGCAGCTGGTTAAAAAAAGGTTTCTTTTGCCGCAGTGGGAATTCCTGCAGCTTCGCTAAATGATGACGGGAGAGTAGTTCTTGGTTCCAAAAACAAAAACAAAAAGGAGGTTAGAGAGTTGGAGAATGAGCCTGCTTTTAAAGAAGAGAAGAGAAAACTGCATTTGAACAGCTTTCCGTTCTCCTTGACATGCTTACTCCACAAGAAATATATCCTAGCAGACCCCACAGCCGAGGAAGAGACTACAATGGAAACCGTTCTTACCGTTGTATTGAATTCATCTTGCCAACTAGTATCTCTCAACAAGCCAGGGGGGCCCGTCCTGGCCAACACTTCGGCGATCCAGGTCCGTCTACATGCTGATCTCTATCTCCTTCCATTGTCACTAAAAGTAACAACTTTTTTTTCATGACTTGGTAACTTTAAAGTCCAAATAATGTAAAGATGTATTGTGGCGTTTTCTTCAGGATTGCATTGTATTGGCGAAGAAACGAGTCAATCAACTATGGAGCATACTGAATGAAGCTATGTCTGATATGGAGGTGGACTAAAGGGTATGTAGGATCATTGTTCTTTTTCCTATCTACAAAAGTGTTTGTTTAAAAGTGTTGTTTTTTCCATGTGGAATGCATAGATTTGTGATTCATATACACATTTGTTTCTGGGTTCAAATTTCTCTCTGAAAATTCTGTTCCCATTCTCTGTTACACCCAATATTACCCTAGTAACTGAAGATGTGATAAGCGCAGTACGAAAGGGGGCATACTTCGTACTCTCTCTGTCCGGAAATGTTTTTCCCGTGTTGACTTGACACGCTTATTAAGGAGTAGTAAAAAAAGTGCCAAATTTCCAACAATGCACATACCACATACTATAAACTTTTAAATCTCCTTTTCTTATTAAATTAGCAATAAAAAAGTAGATTAGTGATAAAATAGAAGGGTATTATTGAAATTTATCCTTAAAAAGTATACCAAAAAAAGAAATGGGAAGAATATTTTCGAGCGGGCAAAAAAGGAGAGTGAGAAGAACATTTCCGGACGGAGGGAGTAGTATATTTCAAAATTATGTACCCAGTTTTGCTGCCTCGTTTTTCATTTTTCAATGGTTAAAACAAGAAACTTCCTATAAAATACTCCGCAGTATACTTCGTCCCAAAAAGCTCCTCATATTAATGATTTTTTTACGATTCTTAATTTGAAAAGCACTCTATAAGCATTTGGTTCCAAAGGAGATAAATTCATAGATGGAGAGACATAAAGTAGATGTAAATCATTAATAACGTAATTGGTTATGTAAAATAACATGTTTTTTGGTATATTTTTTAAGGACTACTCCGTAATATTTTGATTGCCTTTTTTGGGTTTAGGATTTGTCATATTTTTAGATTCAAACCTCAATTCAATGCTTATTAATTTGCATGTAAGTTCAAAATGATGGATTTAATCTAAACGGCATAAATTTCAATTGCGTATTTGATTTTTAAGAAATAGGCTCGTCTGTTTTTCTTTGGTTGTTTGAAATAGTTTTGGTTTGGATTATTAATTCTTACTTGCATGTTGATTTGAAACTAATAGGAATCTTTTATTAAAGTAAAATAATTGAAAAATAAAAATACTGGAAAATTGGAATCATTTAAATGTATAATTTAAGAAAAATGATGTGGATTTTAGATTTACCATGATTTTAAACGAAGAAAATTTTAAGTGGAGTTTTATTATGTAAAGTTTACCATGTGCTTTTAGTAATTTTATCATCAAAGAAGCAGTTTATTCTTTGACAAAAATTGATGTGGATCTTCGATTTATTATGCAATGAAAGGCAGGAAATTTTAAGTTTAAAAAAACCTAAAAAAATAGCTCAGTTTAACATTTTCTTCAACATTAGAGCCTAAATGCACCAGCCGGGAATCGAACCCGGGTCTGTACCGTGGCAGGGTACTATTCTACCACTAGACCACTGGTGCTTGTTGAACATTGCTTATGATGTCAGCTTATAAATCAAATAAGATTTAAAAATCCGAAGTTAGTATCTGCGTTAATTGATGTTTTGATGCTAAATACTCCGTACATATATCCCTTGTCCCCTTGAGTCCCATATCAAAAATACATTTTCAAAGAGTTTAAAAAAGAATTCGTATATAATAGAAATGACAAATTTTATACTGCACCTAAGAATCTACATACTCCGTATGAATAAAATAAATATTTTTTACTACTTAAAGAATAATTTTTTGTTAAATACTCCCTTCGTCCCTAAATATTTGTCACACTTGTATTTCTGAGGTAAAATATCAAACTTTTTCAATTCATTTTATTTACATATTGGTATAGAAATAAAAAATACTCCGTAAAATTTACATATCAAAAAACTACAAGAGAAGTTCTTCGAAATAAGAGGTGTCAATAATATTTTATTTTATCAAATAACCAATGAAAACGTTAAAATAAACAAAAGTTCGCGCGACTACTGAAAAATCAAATATTGCAAATATTTAGGGACGGAGGGAGTAAAAAATTAAAAAAATCATTTTTTACGTAGAAGGACCACAAAAATGATATGCATCCAAGATGCACTATAGAAACAGTCAATAGAAATTTATTTGGGAGGAGGAATAATAACGACAAAGCACGGAGTATTTTTATCACCCAAGGTACACCAAAGAAACACTCATCAAAGAAAGTAATTATATATTATTCTGAAATTAATCGAAAAGAAAAATATATTTTCATTTTTTATTCATTTTTGAAAAAGAACCATGTTTAATATTGTTGGAAATGCGCGTACCCTAACTCTAAATAGTTACTCCCTCCGTTCTAAAACTTTCTTCCCAGAGCATTATTCCAACTTCACGGGAATTTATATTTATTTGTGTTTTTTCATGGCCTATATGCTAAAATTAAATATTTATGTCACCACTTGTTTTGTTGAACTTTTGATGTAGTTTTTAAATATGTACTACGTATGTTTTATTTTTTATTTCTATACCAATATTTAAATAAAATAAATTGAAAAAACTTGAGATTTTTCTTCGTTTTGTGTGCAACGGGAAGAAAGATATAGAACGGAGGGAGTATAAAATATTTTAAAATCTAAATGAATCGAATATTTTTAAACGAACCTAATATGTTTGGTATATTAAACGAACCAAATATGAAATCTTAAAAAATACTTGAATATCACTTTATCTTAATGAAAATGAATATTATTCATGAATATTCGATTCGTCCCTAATCACACACTAAAAAAGCATTTAATACTGCATAGTTTTTATTTTTCCAAAAAAATAAAAATAAAATAACACAATATCAATAGGGAAAATAGGTGGAAAGTGAGAAAAGCCAACATGCCCGGTTGCACTATGACCGGATCTTTATACCAAATTGAATAAACATTTCCTCTCTCTCTCTCTCTCTCTCTCTTCATCACCGTCATCACCATCCACCGGACTGTCTTACCTGTCTGAACGCACGTACTCCTTATATATATACGCAAATATTTTCATTCATTCTTTTCTTTTTTCGCACGTAGTCTTTACCCGCCTTCCGAAGGACTGGAATACCGCAATTTCTGCTATTTTTAATCGAGGAATTGCTCTGTTTTCATTTGACCTTTTTTTCCTTCAATCGCAAGCTCTGATCGCCGGAAAATAATCTGTCCGAGGATCGTTGATATCTCCGGAGGTGAGCCCGTCTTCCATTTGTTTAGATCGTTCAGATGCCTCTCGAATTGATTCATTGATTGTTTATTCGATTGTATGCTGTTTGGTATGCCGGCATTGTGATCCGAGCATGCTTGCTTGTTCATGTGCGAATTGTGGCTATTCATTAATGCGAAATCACCCGGGACAAGTCCGATCTCGTCCTGTTATTTGTACATTGTGACCTCATTTCACGATTTGTTATTTTCAAAGCTGATTGTTTGATAATTTGTTGGGTGTAATGTTGTATATCAGAGGTTGTCTAGTCTTTGGGTGGTTCTTTGTGAAGTCAAATTTACAATGATTGGCTAAAATATGATTGTCTTCATAGCTGCCTGGCATATAAGGACACAAGGACACCTGCACACGAATTTCAAAAAAATTGGCTAACACCCAACAGATTATTAAAAGAAGATAAGATTTTGCTTGGTTTAGCTTTATTTATATCAATTTCCTCGTGAAGATTGAAATGTTAGTAAAATTGGACTGATGATTGGAGTTGGGAACTTTCTTCTGGAGTTTCTGGTAGTATTTGGTTTTATGCTCAAAGTACTTACTCCGCTTATGATTTAAAGTTCCATGGAGATACCTGCCCACATAGGAACATTCTTTTGAAAGAATGATGTACACTCTATCTGCATTTCTGGTTATGTCCATCATAAAAGTCCATTTGTAAAGTAAAATGATTTCAAGCTTAATGAATGCCAGAATCACAAGATAATGCTATATGCCTGTAATTCCAGAAGAATTTACAATAACAGGATTTTGTAACTGCTTACTTCACAATTTCTGCTTTTGTCTTTTCCATATTCATCAACTATTCATGCTTCTTTCGCCTCTGCAGTCCTTTTTGTGGGACTTTTCAGAGCTGAAATAAGGATATTTTGAGGTCTAAGTACTCTTTCGTGAAGACACCGCACCGTAATTGTTGTATGCAATGTCTAGCTCTGTGAAAGGTTTGGAACCTGCATTTCAGGGAGCAGGCCAAAAAGTGTATCCTTTTCTGTAGCGGTAGCTTTACAAGTAAATTGATTGTTTATGTGACATGAAACTTAACAATATTCCTTTTTGTTCCCATTATATCTATCATTAATATGCTACCCGAGTATATATCTTTGTTAGATGTCCTTGTGTGTTTCCTTCTTAACTGGCTGTATGTAGAGGCATTGAGATTTGGAGGATTGAGAACTTCCAACCAGTTCCTTTGCCAAAATGCGATTATGGCAAATTTTACTCGGGTGATTCATACATTGTCTTACAGGTGCGTGCTAGTTTTATTTTTATAAACGGATTTTATGGTCCTGCAGAACATAGGTGTTAGGATAGTAATAGTAATCTACATTAAGAACTTCAATCTGATTTGCAGACTACTGCTGGTAAGGGTGGTGCTTATTTGTATGCCATACACTTCTGGCTTGGGAAGGATACTAGCCAGGTATTGCATGGCATTTGTTCCTAAGAACAGCACAACACAATACTACTATCTTTTTCATTTTCTCTAAATATTGACAATTCAATAGGATGAAGCTGGAACAGCTGCTATTAAAAGTGTAGAGCTTGATGCAACTCTTGGAGGGCGAGCAGTACAGCACAGAGAAGTACAGGGTCATGAATCTGATAAATTCTTGTCTTACTTTAAGCCCTGCATTATGCCATTGGAAGGTGGTGTCGCGACCGGATTTAAGAAACCAGAGGAGGAAGAATTTGAAACACGGTTGTATGTTTGTAAAGGAAAAAGAGTTGTTAGACTGAAGCAAGTAGGGAACCTACGTATCGAACTCTAGTCTCTTGCACTGTTTTAATATGAACTTTTCTTCTACAACAATCAAGAATATTAAAGTATTTGATTTTTTGTAGGTCCCGTTTTCTCGATCATCACTGAATCATGATGATGTGTTTATTTTGGATACCAAAGATAAGATATATCAGTTCAATGGTGCAAACTCCAATATTCAGGAAAGGGCCAAAGCATTAGAAGTAATCCAGTTTTTGAAGGACAAATATCATGAAGGAACGTGTGGTGTTGCTATTGTAGGCAAGTCTTTTATGACTAATAAGATTACTCTTCCCTTTGTTGCTGCTCTAACATAATAGTCTGTATATTTCATAAAGAGTTTTATGAAAATTTGAAACTGTGATCTCCAGATGATGGAAATTTACAGACAGAATCAGACTCTGGTGAATTTTGGGTGCTTTTTGGTGGCTTTGCTCCAATTAGCAAGAAGGTTGCTAGCGAAGATGATATTATTCCTGAGAAGTCTCCTGCTAAGATGTTTAGGTATGCTTATAAAATATAGGCATTTGAAATTGGAGCTCAGTTCACCCAAATTGAGAGTTATTTATAAATTTCTTAGACATGACCGATGGCTCTGTTGAAATAGTGAAGCTTAAGTAGTAACTTGATTACTGGTTGAATAATTACATAAACATTTTATGTAAAAGTTTGAAACATTTTGAAAGAACAGTATGAGCAATTGTGCACATTTCAAATAAGTTTTATGATGGCTAAGAGTAAGAGGAAATAGTGTCCTTTCCAGAGACTCAGCGGCCGTGCTTTTTGAATAGAGAAAGTAGGGGCTATGATCTGATGTGCTGGATCATGATAACATGATTTTAGCCCTGGACCACATTTTGTGGTTTCACAAATTTGAGATATCAAAAGTTCTTCTCTAGCACGAACTGATAAGAGGTCCCTACTCTAATTTTACGATTCCATGAGCTAAATGCCTACGTTGATCTTGAAGGTACATGGAGAAACAGGATCCATTTTAATAGACTGTTGATCTTGTGCATGAAAAAAATTATATATTTGCAGAATAAGGAAATGTTCCTTTTAGAAGATTCTAAGTTTCTAACACTACCTATAATGTCAGGAGTTTCTCCCATGTGATATGTTATTCTAAATTGCTCTATATTTTTCATTAACTTTTCTTATGGAAATTTTAAATTGTATATGACTTCAACTGTTTCTCTATGTAGTAATTCTGCAAAAAACTCTCAGTTAACCTTTAATTAACAGAGTTGAGATTATTTATTTACATGAATGGATAAATCTAAGTTGGTATGCTAAATTTGGCTCGAGGTCCGTTAATTTTAATCATTTGAAAACTCAGTCTTTTTTTCGTGTGTGAAAACACACAATTTGTTTGCATAGCACAATTTGTGTCGGTTAATGATTTTTTGCAATCTAACAGACGATGCTAATGCCCTCTTATTCTGTTTCAGCATTATTGCTGGTCAGGTCAATCCTGTTGATGGTGAACTTTCCAAATCTATTTTGGAAAACAACAGGTGCTATTTGTTGGATTGTGGCAGTGAAATATTTGTTTGGGTTGGCCGTTTAACCCAACTGGATGAAAGGAAAACTGCTCTCCAAACATCAGAGGTATCAATCTAGCTGCTGTGTGATTGTATGCCAATTTTACATACTATGGTAGTGGTTCTTAGACCTTTATGCTAAATGATATTCTCAGAAATTCATCAGAAGTCAAGGGAGACCCAAGGCAACACAAATTATTCATCTCATTCAAGGTCATGAGACAAACTCCTTCAAGTGCAAGTTTGATACTTGGCCATCAGCATCATCAGCACCTGCTCCTGAAGATGGAAGAGGGAAAGTAGCAGGTAGATTAAAACGGCTGATGTAAATTGATGAGTTTTATTGAAACTAACTGTGAGCTTATTCTTCATCCTTGTAGCTTTACTGAAGCAACAGGGTGTTGGAATCAAAGGTGCGAGCAAGACTGTTACGGTAAACGAGGAAGTTCCCCCTTTGCTTGGAGGAGGTGGAAAAATAGAGGTGTTATCTTAATTCTTCAAGTTGTCATTAAGTGTTCATTTCACTGTTTTTTCATCTAGCTACTTGTTATGTGATGCTAACAAAGATCTTCATCAGGTTTGGTGCATTAATGGAAGTGTAAAGACTCCAGTTGCCAAAAACGATGTTGGTAAATTCTATAGTGGAGATTGCTACATTGTCTTATATACCTACCCAACAAATGATAAGAAAGAAGATTATTACTTATGTTGGTGGATTGGAAAGGACAGTGTTGAGGTAATAGAATCGTATAATTCATTTTTCTTTCTTATTCAACTTTTGGTAAAATTATTTGCAAAAGTAGTGCATTCTAGCTCCAATTTTGTTGATTTTATGTTCGTTCAGAACTAGAGTATATTACTAGTATGCTGCTTGTTATTAGTTGAGGTCTTGAGGATGTATGCTGTTTTTCATGGTATGCTTTTATTCATCCAGGAGGACCAGAAGACGGCTTTTCGGTTGACTACTACTATGTGCAATTCACTGAAAGGAAGACCTGTAATGGTAATGCTGGTTATCACTTTTATATTACTGTATTAAGAATAGGATACTGTCAGATCAATTTCACTGTGGAATGTTGGCATCAATCAGGGTCGAATATTTCAAGGGAAAGAGCCACCACAATTCGTTGCAATCTTTCAGCCCATGGTGGTCCTTAAGGTACCTCTCCTCCCTTCTTGTACAATTAATTCTTATAACTAAACTTCAATCTAGTTGGCCTGACCTCTTTCTCATGTCTCTTTTAATTAGGGGGGGCTAAGCTCTGGCTACAAGAACTACATATCTGACAAAGGCTTAAATGATGAAACCTACACTACTGATTCAGTTGCTCTTATTCGGATATCTAGAACTTCAGTGCATAATAACAAAGCAGTTCAAGTTGATGCAGTATGTTTTTTAGCTCTTCAACTTTTCCATCTAGGCTATTATAACTTTTATTTCTTACGATATTATTGAAGACATGAATCCGTTTCTTTATTCATGAATACTTTAAATAAACTTGATAATGTAGAGAAACCTAAATAGGTTCATAGTTTCCACAACCCTACCCATGTTTCAAATTGGAGTGTTTATCCTCCTTATGGCCTCAAACAGCTAATACTGCTGCTGCTGCTACTTGTATTGTTTTCAATGTTGGCATTTAAATATGCTTTACTGAATAGTTTTGGCATGTGTTTTGGTTTTCACTTTATTAGTATTGGTGTTGAAGTGCTGCTTCAGGAAATTGGTGATCTGTTAATAATAAGCATGTTCAGTTTGCGGAATATATATTAAAGTTCTGATACTAAAGTAGTTTGCTTTTAACTAGGAACTCTATTTTCCCGCTGATGTTTTAACATGTTTAAAAATGAAGATTAAACATTGTTTCCACCTAATTCACACAGTGGCACACACTCACAACCTACAGTTTTGATTGAGTAGTGCTCGCCTTCTATTTACAAGCTCTTTTGTTTTGTAAAATTTTCAGGTGGCGACTTCCTTGAACTCGCATGAATGTTATCTTGCTCAATCTGGGTCTTCAATGTTCACTTGGCATGGAAACCAGAGCACTTATGAGCAGCAGCAATTAGCCATGAAGATTGCTGACTTCTTGAAGGTACAGTTCTTTATGGAGATTTTGCAATGAATGATTTTTTTTCCTTTTCTATTTCGTTGGACATACCCCCCAATAGCTAAAAAACCTCATGCTTTGTAAAAAACAAGGAAATGGTTCACGCAACAAAGAGTATGAAGAAGTAACTCAAGTACCAAATATATAAAAACAATAATTAAGGAGAAACTGCATCATATAGTTGCATCATGAATTTAGAGCATTGGGCAAATATGCCTTCAGTAAATTCATAGGATAGGTTAAATGTGTAATAGGACAGGCCATAAGGGACATAGGTTGCATCCACACAGTTTCGGTTTGCAATAGTTATCACATCCGATAAATATTTCCCTACTCAATTATTATGTTCGGAAAATAAATATTTTCCCCCAATGATGAATATACTCAATAAATGTTGCTGGGTTTCAATTACTACGGAGTACGGAGTATAATTGAATTTAACTATTTAAACTGCTGTAATTCTGATAAGTTTATAAAAAATAAATTTTGATGCACATAATTTCTTTTACAAAATTTACTTATATTATACCAGCAAATTTTAAGGGGGGTGTAATCAATCCAGACTCTGTAGGATTTCTTTGGATTTTAAAAGTCAATGGGTATTCAATTAGGATTTTGAAAAATCCATTAAATTCTGGAGATATTCAATTGAGATTTTAAAAAATCTTTCTAAATCTAATGATATTGAAAAGTTGATAGATTTTTAAGGATTATTAAAAAAAAAATGGATTCTAATGGATTTTTGGTTTGAAGTATGAATAAAAAATTTGTTTTGAAATCCAACCAAAGTCGCAGGTATTTTCAAGAGTCACGAGTCTCCTTCTTCGAAAATTTTCTTCTTCCTCGTCGGCGCTGGTTCTTCTCGATCTCCTTCCTCGCCGGCGATGGTTCTTCTGCAAATCGGATACAAGCCTTCAAGATAAAGTGATTCCATCGGGCGCTCCCTTGTTCAGCACTCCAGATCTGTCACCGATTACGACAGCCGGCGGCAACGAATACCACAGAGGACGAGGGAGGAGCAGCGCAAACAGAGTCCAGTAGCCTTTTCGTCCAGCGCAACGGATTTTAAGGCCGAGAACCCTAGTCTTCAATTCTCTTATTTTCTCGTTATTCGCAGCGGATTTTAAGGCCGATTTTGGGTTTGATTGTCTATAAATTATAGTCAATCAAACATAATCTTATAAAATCTTGGTGATAAAATACATCAAAATCTATCGAACTCTGCACAGACTTAAAATAATCCATAGATTTTGCATAATTCATAGACTTTAAACAATCTATCTAAATCTTTCATAATCTTAATTGAATACACACCCCTAAGTGATAACTAATATCCAACCAAAACAACAACCTAGTAGAGCATCACGAAGTGGTAACTGATATATACTCCATAAAAACAGACTATTTTAAATCAATCTTGTAAATACAAAATACCTTTCATCCAATTATTTTGGGCACACTAGAAGCGTTAATGAACCGTTACACACTTACACGTGTACCTTTCATTCATAGTTTGTGGCATTATTGTATTATTACACTCTACTACATAATGAAAATGAATTCAGCCAGGAGTAGCTGTGAAGCACACTAAAGAAGGAACTGAGAGCTCTGCTTTCTGGTTTGCTATAGGTGGGAAACAAAGTTATAACAGCAAGAAAGCAGCCTCAGAGGTTGTCCGTGATCCTCACTTATTCACTTATTCTATGAATAAAGGTACTGTTTTTATGAAGTTAGACAACACTTTCATTCAATAAGCATCATGTTTCGTCACTGACCTTTTTTTATAATATGCTTCCACGTGGATCCCCAGGAAAATTTGAGGTGAGTTCAGGAACTTGAGGTTAAATTCTTGAATTTCTTGTATTAAGATTTCATTACATTGTTCCTTCTCCGTGCATTCATTCTTAAACCCATAATAACCGGTCAGGTTGAAGAAGTGTACAACTTCTCTCAAGACGATCTGTTGACGGAGGATGTTTTAGTACTAGACACACACGCTGAAGTGTTTGTTTGGGTTGGTCAATCAACTGATCTCAGCGAAAAGCAAAATGCGTTTGAAATTGGGCAGGTCCTTCTCATGTTAATATGTTATTACT